GAAGACACAAAGCCAAAGACTCATATGGACTTTGGCTACAACATGAAAGCTTTGAGAAGCAAGAAGAAGGTTGGTTAGTGTTTTGGAGTCGAATATGACTTGATCTCATGTGTATGATTGAGTATAAGAACTTAAACCGCAACCGGATCTTAAAGGCGTAAGAATTGTATCCTTGTTAAAAGACACAAAGCCAAAGACTCATATGGACTTTGGCTACACCATGAAAGCTTTGAGAAGCAAGAAGAAGGTTGGTTAGTGTTTTGGAGTCGAATATGACTTGATCTCATGTGTATGATTGAGTATAAGAACTTAAACCGCAACCGGATCTTAAAGGCGTAAGAATTGTATCCTTGTTAAAAGACACAAAGCCAAAGACTCATATGGACTTTGGCTACACCATGAAAGCTTTGAGAAGCAAGAAGAAGGTTGGTTAGTGTTTTGGAGTCGAATATGACTTGATCTCATGTGTATGATTGAGTATAAGAACTTAAACCGCAACCGGATCTTAAAGGCGTAAGTATTGTATCCTTGTTAAAAGACACAAAGCCAAAGACTCATATGGACTTTGGCTACACCATGAAAGCTTTGAGAAGCAAGAAGAAGGTTGGTTAGTGTTTTGGAGTCGAATATGACTTGATCTCATGTGTATGATTGAGTATAAGAACTTAAACCGCAACCGGATCTTAAAGGCGTAAGAATTGTATCCTTGTTAAAAGACACAAAGCCAAAGACTCATATGGACTTTGGCTACACCATGAAAGCTTTGAGAAGCAAGAAGAAGGTTGGTTAGTGTTTTGGAGTCGAATATGACTTGATCTCATGTGTATGATTGAGTATAAGAACTTAAACCGCAACCGCATCTTATAAGCCTAAGTAGTGTTTCCTTGTTAGAAGACACAAAGCCAAAGACTCATATGGACTTTGGCTACACCATGAAAGCTTTGAGAAGCAAGAAGAAGGTTGGTTAGTGTTTTGGAGTCGAATATGACTTGATCTCATGTGTATGATTGAGTATAAGAACTTAAACCGCAACCGGATCTTAAAGGCGTAAGAATTGTATCCTTGTTAAAAGACACAAAGCCAAAGACTCATATGGACTTTGGCTACACCATGAAAGCTTTGAGAAGCAAGAAGAAGGTTGGTTAGTGTTTTGGAGTCGAATATGACTTGATCTCATGTGTATGATTGAGTATAAGAACTTAAACCGCAACCGGATCTTAAAGGCGTAAGAATTGTATCCTTGTTAAAAGACACAAAGCCAAAGACTCATATGGACTTTGGCTACACCATGAAAGCTTTGAGAAGCAAGAAGAAGGTTGGTTAGTGTTTTGGAGTCGAATATGACTTGATCTCATGTGTATGATTGAGTATAAGAACTTAAACCGCAACCGCATCTTATAAGCCTAAGTAGTGTTTCCTTGTTAAAAGACACAAAGCCAAAGACTCATATGGACTTTGGCTACACCATGAAAGCTTTGAGAAGCAAGAAGAAGGTTGGTTAGTGTTTTGGAGTCGAATATGACTTGATCTCATGTGTATGATTGAGTATAAGAACTTAAACCGCAACCGGATCTTAAAGGCGTAAGAATTGTATCCTTGTTAAAAGACACAAAGCCAAAGACTCATATGGACTTTGGCTACACCATGAAAGCTTTGAGAAGCAAGAAGAAGGTTGGTTAGTGTTTTGGAGTCGAATATGACTTGATCTCATGTGTATGATTGAGTATAAGAACTTAAACCGCAACCGGATCTTAAAGGCGTAAGAATTGTATCCTTGTTAAAAGACACAAAGCCAAAGACTCATATGGACTTTGGCTACACCATGAAAGCTTTGAGAAGCAAGAAGAAGGTTGGTTAGTGTTTTGGAGTCGAATATGACTTGATCTCATGTGTATGATTGAGTATAAGAACTTAAACCGCAACCGGATCTTAAAGGCGTAAGAATTGTATCCTTGTTAAAAGACACAAAGCCAAAGACTCATATGGACTTTGGCTACACCATGAAAGCTTTGAGAAGCAAGAAGAAGGTTGGTTAGTGTTTTGGAGTCGAATATGACTTGATCTCATGTGTATGATTGAGTATAAGAACTTAAACCGCAACCGGATCTTATAAGCCTAAGTAGTGTTTCCTTGTTAGAAGACACAAAGCCAAAGACTCATATGGACTTTGGCTACACCATGAAAGCTTTGAGAAGCAAGAAGAAGGTTGGTTAGTGTTTTGGAGTCGAATATGACTTGATCTCATGTGTATGATTGAGTATAAGAACTTAAACCGCAACCGGATCTTAAAGGCGTAAGAATTGTATCCTTGTTAAAAGACACAAAGCCAAAGACTCATATGGACTTTGGCTACACCATGAAAGCTTTGAGAAGCAAGAAGAAGGTTGGTTAGTGTTTTGGAGTCGAATATGACTTGATCTCATGTGTATGATTGAGTATAAGAACTTAAACCGCAACCGGATCTTATAAGCCTAAGAATTGTATCCTTGTTAAAAGACACAAAGCCAAAGACTCATATGGACTTTGGCTACACCATGAAAGCTTTGAGAAGCAAGAAGAAGGTTGGTTAGTGTTTTGGAGTCGAATATGACTTGATCTCATGTGTATGATTGAGTATAAGAACTTAAACCGCAACCGCATCTTATAAGCCTAAGTAGTGTTTCCTTGTTAGAAGACACAAAGCCAAAGACTCATATGGACTTTGGCTACACCATGAAAGCTTTGAGAAGCAAGAAGAAGGTTGGTTAGTGTTTTGGAGTCGAATATGACTTGATCTCATGTGTATGATTGAGTATAAGAACTTAAACCGCAACCGGATCTTAAAGGCGTAAGAATTGTATCCTTGTTAAAAGACACAAAGCCAAAGACTCATATGGACTTTGGCTACACCATGAAAGCTTTGAGAAGCAAGAAGAAGGTTGGTTAGTGTTTTGGAGTCGAATATGACTTGATCTCATGTGTATGATTGAGTATAAGAACTTAAACCGCAACCGGATCTTATAAGTCTAAGTAGTGTATCCTTGTTAAAAGACACAAAGCCAAAGACTCATATGGACTTTGGCTACACCATGAAAGCTTTGAGAAGCAAGAAGAAGGTTGGTTAGTGTTTTGGAGTCGAATATGACTTGATCTCATGTGTATGATTGAGTATAAGAACTTAAACCGCAACCGCATCTTATAAGCCTAAGTAGTGTTCCTTGTTAGAAGACACAAAGCCAAAGACTCATATGGACTTTGGCTACAACATGAAAGCTTTGAGAAGCAAGAAGAAGGTTGGTTAGTGTTTTGGAGTCGAATATGACTTGATCTCATGTGTATGATTGAGTATAAGAACTTAAACCGCAACCGGATCTTAAAGGCGTAAGAATTGTATCCTTGTTAAAAGACACAAAGCCAAAGACTCATATGGACTTTGGCTACACCATGAAAGCTTTGAGAAGCAAGAAGAAGGTTGGTTAGTGTTTTGGAGTCGAATATGACTTGATCTCATGTGTATGATTGAGTATAAGAACTTAAACCGCAACCGGATCTTATAAGGCCTAAGTAATTGTATCCTTGTTAAAAGACACAAAGCCAAAGACTCATATGGACTTTGGCTACACCATGAAAGCTTTGAGAAGCAAGAAGAAGGTTGGTTAGTGTTTTGGAGTCGAATATGACTTGATCTCATGTGTATGATTGAGTATAAGAACTTAAACCGCAACCGGATCTTATAAGGCGTAAGAATTGTATCCTTGTTAAAAGACACAAAGCCAAAGACTCATATGGACTTTGGCTACACCATGAAAGCTTTGAGAAGCAAGAAGAAGGTTGGTTAGTGTTTTGGAGTCGAATATGACTTGATCTCATGTGTATGATTGAGTATAAGAACTTAAACCGCAACCGCATCTTATAAGCCTAAGTAGTGTTTCCTTGTTAGAAAGACACAAAGCCAAAGACTCATATGGACTTTGGCTACACCATGAAAGCTTTGAGAAGCAAGAAGAAGGTTGGTTAGTGTTTTGGAGTCGAATATGACTTGATCTCATGTGTATGATTGAGTATAAGAACTTAAACCGCAACCGGATCTTAAAGGCGTAAGAATTGTATCCTTGTTAAAAGACACAAAGCCAAAGACTCATATGGACTTTGGCTACACCATGAAAGCTTTGAGAAGCAAGAAGAAGGTTGGTTAGTGTTTTGGAGTCGAATATGACTTGATCTCATGTGTATGATTGAGTATAAGAACTTAAACCGCAACCGGATCTTAAAGGCGTAAGAATTGTATCCTTGTTAAAAGACACAAAGCCAAAGACTCATATGGACTTTGGCTACACCATGAAAGCTTTGAGAAGCAAGAAGAAGGTTGGTTAGTGTTTTGGAGTCGAATATGACTTGATCTCATGTGTATGATTGAGTATAAGAACTTAAACCGCAACCGCATCTTATAAGCCTAAGTAGTGTTTCCTTGTTAGAAGACACAAAGCCAAAGACTCATATGGACTTTGGCTACAACATGAAAGCTTTGAGAAGCAAGAAGAAGGTTGGTTAGTGTTTTGGAGTCGAATATGACTTGATCTCATGTGTATGATTGAGTATAAGAACTTAAATCGCAACCGGATCTTAAAGGCGTAAGAATTGTATCCTTGTTAAAAGACACAAAGCCAAAGACTCATATGGACTTTGGGTACACCATGAAACGCTCCCATGCTTCACAGAAGCTTTCACCAGTCTTCTGTGAGAAACCAGAAATCTCATTTCTGAGTCTTGCAGTTCTGGCATTTGAGAAGAACTTTGACAGAAAAGCCTTCTTACAATCATCCCAGGTGGTGATTGAGTCATGGGGTAGATTCTTCTCCCAGATGTGTGCTTTGTCTCCCAAGGAGAATGGAAACAAACGGAGCTTGAATCCGTCTTCACTGACACCATTGATCTTTGTTAGGTTGCAGAGCCTATCGAATTCATCAAGGTGGTCGAGTGGATCCTCCATTGGCAAACCATGGAATTTGTTCCCCTGAATCATCGAGATGAGCCCACTCTTAATCTCAAAATTGTTGTTCTGGATAGCAGGAGGTGCAATTCCCTTCCTCTGACGGTGATCATGTGGTGCATCTCCAGCACCAATGTTGGCAGGGCCATTTTGTTGATTCTGGTCGTCAGCCATTTCGAGTGGTTGCTGAGGTACAGGGTTGACTGTGGTTCTCCTTTTTCTGAGTTCGCGAGCTGTGCGGTTGATGTTGTCGTTGAAAAGGAGGTTCTAGTTGACTGTTGATCGAGTTCGCATACAGTAGAGGTGTACCTGGATCAACAAGACAACAAGAAAAACACACAGTTAGTAACTGAAAATAAAATTGAAAAAGGACTTGATCTAAGCAAGTCTGAAATCTCAAATGTAACAAACAAACACCCAATTGGCAACGGCGCCAAATTGATAATAGGATTTTAAGATCAATAAATCCTAAAGCACTATCATGTCGTTGTAGTACTGAAGGTTGTCAATCCAAATGGTGTGATGCTAACAATCAAGATGTGATCAGAAGTCACTAAGTCAAGCCAAGCATAACAGGTTTTGGTGTGTTCTAACAGTCCTAAGTGAAAATGCAGAAAACAGAAAATCAAACAGAAACAGTAAAACACTCGACCAACACAGCTCTTTGCAGAGCACTGGGTGAGGTCGAGTGACAGGTCGAGTAACAGACAGAAAATGAAACAGGGATACTCGACTGCACAGTCTTTTGCCAGACAACTGGGTGGTCGAGTACCAGGTCGAGTAACAGTAAAGAATTGCAGAAACTAAGCAACAGATGATAGGATGCAGTAAACAGCAGTAGAGTAAACAATAAAATCAATCAGACAAAGAATTCCTAAGGATGGGGTAATTGAGTAATTTCGTTTCCTCAGTTTACAGGTGATTGACATGCTTAATAAATTAACCCTAGACAACAAGTTCATCAACCAAATCTAAGTGCCACCGCAACAGAGAGTCTCAAGCTAACCTAGTCCCAGACTCAATCACCATTGACGAGAGCTAACCTAACAGGCATTACGAATCAACAAGTTAAAGCCAAAACGCTCCCTACAACCAATACCTTGGTACAGGGTCACGAATCTCTGGAATAAGTGGTTCAGACATTTCATCGAACACCTTTTGGGCGCAGAATTGTCTAGGCTCAAATTCCAGTTGATCAGAAAGCAATAGGCATTAAGAACAACTAATCCAGAAGGGATCTATCAATCAATACTCAATTTCCTAGCATACTGAGAATTCTACACTACTCTAACCCATCCTCAGAAACCTATTCACTACTCAGACATCATAATAGAAGGCATAAACATTGAACAAGTTGAAAACATGCTAACAACAGTGTAACAGCAGCATGATAACAGAATGAACAACAGTAAACGAAATCAAGAACAAAAGCTGAATACTGAATAGATAAAGAGAAATCCGGATTACAAAAATTCTAGAACACAAGGTCTGCGGAAATAAAACTAGGTAAAAAACTTCTTGTCAGCGAAAATGAGAAGTACATGCTACTTATAGCCAAATATCCCGAAACTCTAATACTCAAAACGACGAAGTATTGGAACGGATTAAGAACTGTACTCGACCCAGGTGGTCGAGTAAGAGGTCGAGTGAATAGCTGGAGTCTTCTTTTCTTCCTTGTGCTCGAGTGTCTAGTTGAGTGCGGAATGAAGAAGGCTCTGAAGCTTGACATCGAGTATGCAGTCGAGTGGTGTGATGGCGATACTCGACCTCTAGGTAGAGTGAAGAGGTCGAGTGGTTGTCTGGTGATGGAGGTGAAGACACTCGACCTCATGGTCGAGTGAAGTGATCGAGTGATGGAGACGAGGGCACTCGACCACGGGGTCGAGTGGTGAAGTGAAGTAGTGATGTCCTCTACTCGACCTGGTGGTCGAGTGGTCTCTTGAGGTCTTGAAGCTCCTACTCAACCTCTGGGTCGAGTGGTTTGTCATGATCAGGTCCGCTTCTTCCAGATAGCTCGTCAACAGCTCCAAATCACCTGAAATTAACGCAAATATGCAACACGCATGCAAAACTATCCTAAACATGCAAAGTGATGACAAATGATGTGAAATGGTATAAAACAGTGATGATATGATGCTAAAGTGATGACAAATGGATGCTCAAAACATGCAAAATACACACTTATCAGTTAGTGTTTTGGAGTCAAATATGACAAGATATCAAGTTTATGGTTGAGCATAAGAACTAGAACCGCATCAGGTTCCCAAAAGCTTAAGTAGTGTTTCCTTGTTAGAAAAAAACAAAGCCAAAGACTCATACAGAATTTGGCTACACCATCAAAGCTTTGAGAAGCAATAAGAAGATTAGTTAGTGTTTTGAAGTCAAATATGACAAGATCTCATGTGTATGATTGAGTATAAGAACTAGAATCACAACTAGTTCCAAAACCTAAAGTATAGTTTCCTTGTTAGAAGATACAAAGCCAAAGACTCATACAGACATTTCCGCTACACCATCATAACTTTGAGAAGCATAAGAAGTTTGGTTAGTGTTTTGGAATCAAATATGACTAGATGTTATGTGTATGATTGAGTATAAGACCTAGAACCGCAACTGGTTCCCGAAAGATAAAGGAGTATATCCTGGTTAGAAGATACAAAACCAAAGACTCATACAGACTTCGGCTACACCATCAAAGTTTTGAGAAGCATTAAGAAGCTTGCTTAGTTTTTTGGAGTCAAATATGACTAGATGTCATGTGTATGATTGAATATAAGAACTAGAACCACAACCGGTTCCCAAAACCTAAAGTAGAGTTTTGTGGTTAAAAGTTACGAAGCCAAAGACTCATACGGACTGTGGCTACACCATCAAAGCTTTGAGTAGCAATAAGAAGCTTGGTTACATGTCATTTATGTGAATAAGTATAAAAACAAGAACCGCAAACTGTTCCTAAAAGCTAAAGTAATGTTTCCTTGTTAGAAGATACAAAGTCAAAGACTCATACGGACTTTGGCTACACCATCAAAGCTTTGAGAAACAATAAGAAGCTTGGTTAGTGTTTTGAAGTCAAATATGACAAAGTGTCATGTGTATGATTGAGTATAAGAACTAGTACTGAAATTGGTTTCCAAAAGCTAAAGTAGAGTTTTATTGGTACAAGATACAATGCCAAAGACTCATACGAACTTCGTCTACACCATCAAAGCTTTGAGAAGCAATAAGAAGCTTGGTTAGTGTTTTGGAGTCAAATATGACAAGATGTCATGTGTATGCTTGAGCATAAGAACTAGAACCGCATCTGGTTCCCAAAAGCTAAAGTATAGTTTCATTGGTAGAAGATACAATGCCAAAGACTCATACGAACTTCAGCTACACCACCAAAGCTTTGAGAAGCGATAATAAGCTTGGTTAGTGTTTTGGAGGCAAATATGACAAGATGTCATGTGTATGGTTGAGCATAAGAACTAGAACCGCATTTGGTTCCCAAAAGCTAAAGTAGTGTTTCTTTGTTAGAAAAAAACAAAGCCAAAGACTCACCCAGACTTTGGCTACACCATCAAAGCTTTAAAAAGCAATAACAAGCTTAGTTAGTTTTTTGGAGTCAAATATGACAAGATGTCATGTGTATGATTGAGTATAAGAACTAGAATCGCAACCACTTCCAAAACCTAAAGTATAGTTTCCTTGTTAGAAGATACAAAGCGAAAGACTCATACTGACTTCCGCTACACCATCAAAACTTTGAGAAGCAATAAGAAGCTTGGTTAGTGTTTTGGAATCAAATATGACTAGATGTTATGTGTATGATTGAAGATAAGAACTAGAACCGCAACCGGTTCCCGAAAGCTAAAGGAGTATTTCCTTGTTGGAAGATACAAAGCCAAAGACTCATACAGACTTCGGTTACACCATCAAAACTTTTAGAAGCCTTAAGAAGCTTGGTTAGTTTGTTGGAGTCAAATATGACTAGATGTCATATGTATGATTGAGTATAAGAACTAGAACTACATCCGGTTGCGAAAAGCTAAAGTAGAGTTTCCTGGTTAAAAGATACAAAGCCAAAGACTCATACGGACTGCGACCACACCATCAAAGCTTCGAGAAGCAATAAGAAGCTTGGTTAGATGTCATGTATATGAATGAGTATAAAAACAAGAACCGTAATGGTTCCTAAAAGCTAAAGTAGTGTTTCCTTATTAGAAGATAGAAAGCCAAAGACTCATACGGACTTTGGCTACACCATAAAAGCTTTGAGAAGCAATAAGAAGCTTGGTTAGTGTTTTGGAGTCAAATATGACTATGAGTCATTTGTATGATTAAGTATAAGAACATGTACCGCAATCGGTTCCCAAAAGTTAAAGTAGAGTTTCATTGGTACAAGATACATACCCAAAGACTCATACAGACTTTGGCTACACCATCAAAGCTTTGTACCTTCTAATCGAGAATATATCAGTATTACTGATATTGGACGCTCGTAAACGCCAAGAACAACTCTCTTTGGCACACTTTAGGACATAGCGCTCCTTATCCGACTTCTTAATCACATAACCAAAACTGTTAGCAAATGCAGCTCTATCCACCACCTCGTGCAATTGCGCCTTGTTTGGAAATTCTTGACGTAAGGTCAACCCAATTCTGTCTTCCCACTCTTTTTTAAACATACCCGGTTCTACAGCAGGTGGCAACTCAACATACTGTTCCCCCCTATCAGAATTATCCATAGACTCATAATAGCGTGTTTCATCTTCTTGAGTCCCGTGATCCTCCACTAT